ATTTATTCAAAGTGAATGGATCAGTCACTAATATCCTCATAAATATATTACTTTTGTGTGAGCGTTGTTCTAGTCATAATTGAGAAGAATTTTAGCTCAGGTGTATGATATTGAATTAGTTGTGTTCTTTATGCTGGTTGATTTAATTGCAAAGCTTTCGTATTCCCTCCAGACGACGTCTTCAGCGCAGGTTTTAGTATCAAATGGACTTATTTAAATTCTCCATTAAATGATGTAACTGTATCTCCTGGTGACCATTGTCGTCACTTTTTTTTAATTTACGTCTCTACCGATCATATTTTTATTGTCTTGGGATTCGAACTTCCTTGTCATATGATTTATTTTTTATTAGCTGGTAAATTTTTGTCTATAGTAATGTGTTTTTTAGTTGCTAATTCACTTGAGTACCAGAACGAAACAGCTATCTGGTACTCGCAGGTCTTCAAAATGATTCTCTAACAAATGTCACCTCATGATGAAATCCTTCGACCAATCAAACATAACCCCAACAAATCGATACTTGAGAATTTAAATAAGTTCATTTTATACTAAAACCTGCACTGAAGATGTTCTCTAGAAAGGCAACGAAAGTTTCGTAATTAAATCAGAAAGCTCAAAGAACACAACTAATTCACTTGTTCTAGTCATTAAATCAAAGATTTTCGATTGCAGTAAGCGCGCTTATTCAAAAATAATGATGATTTAGTTTATTTATTCTTTGTTATTTTAGTATTGTCGATATGTATGTTTATTTCTCTTGTCTTATAAATGGTCCTACTATCTTCAGAAGACTTAAACCACTGGCGGAACACATCATAAAAGATTTGGGAGACAGATTAGGAACCGTTGTGCGTAGGTGGCACAGCGGTAAGGACGCTCGCCGACCATGCACATGGTCCGGGGTTCGATCCCCTGCCGACGCACAACTAATTTCTATGGTCGGCCTGCAAAATTTGGGCTACCGATGTCACATGCTGAAAATTCCATACCTGTACCAAAAAATACGGTGTGGAATCAAGCTGTAATAAAAAATATATATTGTGTGATATACGAATGGATTATAAAACCTAAAATGTCCACACGCACCACAATTTCCATCCAGACATTTCTTTTTTTTGAAAGCAGTAGATGAACTGCTAAATTTACTAGCAATCATTGTCAAATTTAGACACTTTAAGAATTTTTTCTTGATTGTTATGATCTATTAACCATCGTCATTTAGGTATGCATGCAGTCTGTCTCTGTATTTAGGGTATGATAGGCAGCTATTGAATAACTTGGAAGTATGAGGCTGATTAAGTTTCTCGTGCTGGCTGTGAGTATTAACAACAAAACTTACGCAAATAAATATCGCCCATTTAAGAGAATACATCTAGACGAGAATAAGAAATTTCGAGTTTACTTTTTAGTTTATTACACTAAAACGGTGTTTTGGACGAAACAGTTAGGTATTATGAAAATCTTAAAAAAAACTTTCTAACTACTCACTTGAGACAGATGCTGTTAAATCCTTGCATGGTTGGCAAGTATTCTACCGCTGTGCCACCGACGCACATATTCTGTGAAATATTGAAAATGTATACTGATAACATGGTTGATAACAGTTGTTGTCAAAAGTTCTATTTGTATGTTGACAGGCCAGACGGTTTTATATCCTAAATCTTGTTAATTGGGAAATTTTGAAACAGTGATAGTGTTTTTCCTATTGCAGATAACCCTTGAATGGTAACCAATGGTTAATTTTTGAAGAAGTGAAATAAAATCTAAGTTATTTATTATTATTTTTTTTTTGATTACAGCTTGATGCCACACCGTATTTTCAGTACAAGTATGGAATTTTCAGCATAGATATCGGTAGCCCAAATTTTACAGGCCGACCATAGATATCGGGTGTGCGTCGGCAGGGGATCGAACCCCGGACCATGTGCATGGTCGGCGAGAGTCCTAACCACTGTGCCACCTACGCTCAAATTTCTATCTTCTTCATCTGAAGCAATCTGTTGAACTCATTCTTTTCTAGAATAGATCAAAACTTGATTCACATCACAGTCATAAATCTACGTACTAAACAAAACTGAACTCCACATTTCTTATTCAATAAATAAATCATGAAAATGTCATACTGAGTAAACTTTGACTAAATACTTCTATCGAAATCAGTTTACGTGAATATCAGATAATAAAAATAATGCTAGAAAAGATGAGAACTGGAAAAGATTAAAATTATGAAAGATACAGAGGTTAACGAAGAAATTATGTCTCTACAATTGTAGAATATTGACGTATGCGTTGCGTTTGAACATCTACTCTCGTATATTCGTGTTGATTTCAATATAGATAGAGAAAGTGATTCTCTTATAAAATTTATGATGTACGCATTTTAGGCTGTACACTGAATAATTTTCAATGTTTGAAACACTCTCTTTTTCTTATGAGGTTGATAGTATACAGTGTTTTCTTTTCCTTCTAGAATATATAAATATTCAAAAAAGTGTCAGTAACAATATATGATGTTCTTACATCACGTAACGTGACTATATAAAACAAGTGAAGAATATAAAAGGATGCTTATCATGTTTCGCTGACATTTATTTGAAGCGCTTTCTTTTATTTAACAACTAAATATATTCATGATACGTTTAAACAAATATTTCTTTTAAAATATCTATCAACAAAAGTCCAGACAAGTAATACGTAAACAGAAGGTAGAAAATACACACAGACATCTCTGAGCTGAAGTTGTTCAGTGATAGTGTTTGCATAGCCCAAAATTGATTCACACAGAGTACACTGTCTTGTCAGGCGTGCCATATTTCTAGTCGTGTTGTAATGCAAATTAAGCATAAGAAGTAATATACGTCACAATGTCAAACATTTTTTAAATCGTAGAAAAAATATGTGCATTTTTAAGGCTCACGCAAAGTCAGCCAGAATCGGAAATTCAAAATACGCCTTCATCAGCCTGAAAACAATTTGAAAATCCTCCACACTCAGCATAAAGAACAAGATTCTCATTTTCGACCCATTTGTGAAGTCAGTCAGTCACTTTAGCCGACTTTGAATGAGCCCATCACAATGGCCTTGAGTTGACCCTCTGAATAATCGTGGATTAGAAAACTGCTGGAGAAGCGTCCTCTTACTGTTTCTTAATGCCTAAAAATTATTTTAGGTTGTTTCAAATCTTAACAAAATCCATCTGAAACTATTCAGCTCCTTTAATAATCACCTGTATGGATTTTATTTTGAAATCGTAGACTTCCTGAAAAATTTGAGAATGCTAAATTTCTTCTCAGGAAATGATCTTCTGAACCCGATTTATTCTTCAGAACTACACTTAGGAGAACCAAAATCTCAGCCATCATTTTTCCACTCTCTTAGATCATCATTAAGGTTTTCAACTTGAAAATTAGTTTGCATTATACGAGTAAAGACGCCTCACTTAATCTGACAGTCGCACTTTATAACTGAAAGTGCATTTTGTTTACACGAGTCAGTCTAATAAAGAATATAATACAAACAAAGTATATTTCCTGAGATTTACTTTGTTATTCATTCGTATTAACTTTATAGACATCTGAAATCTCAAAGAGAACTATGATTAATTTACGCCTTCTTCTTCGTCTTTATTTCTATTTAATATATTCCACAATCTTATTAATAATCCAAAATAATAATATTGTTACTTATCACAGAGAATGTTCTATCCACTTATCCTATAATTAGTACATAGTTATACTAAAAATGTAGAGGTAACGAAATTAGCGGTGCTCAATATAGTTTGTAAATA